CACACACACACACACACACACACACACACACACACACACACACGCACGCACACACACACACATGCACACACACACACAAACACACGTGTTGTCACTCCATCCAGGCCGGCATGGTGTGCAGCAACGAGCCGGGTTACTACGAGGACGGCCGCTTTGGCATCAGGGTCGAGAACCTGGTGGTGGTGGAGGAGGCCGATACTGAGTTCAGGTGGGGGTGCATGTGTGCGTGTGTGCGCATGTGTGTGTGGTGTGTGCATGTGTCTCCAGCTGTGCGTGTGTGTGTGCGTTTGTGTATAAGAGAGCGAACGGCTGGTTCCAGCATGCATGTTCGGTGAGGAAGGTCGAACCTGTCAGGGCGTTGCATGGGGACGTGCCGTGTCGCACCAGGTGGCTGTGGGTGGACGTACGGGTTTGGTCAAGCTGAAGTGAGATCGGTGTGGTTGACTTCAGTGAGTTGAGGCCCTTTAGTCTGCATACAGCATGTCGTGATCGGCGCTACGCAATACCCCCCATCCTGCAGCTGCTTACTCATCATTCTATCGGCCCTCCGACCCGCCGCCTATATGCACGCGATTTCTGGGCCCGCCCCCCAGGTTTGGCGGCACTTCTTTCCTGCGCTTCAGGCGGCTGACGCAGGTGCCCATCCAGACCGCGCTGGTGGAGCCGTCCCTCATGAAGCCGGAGGACATTGCCTGGCTGGATGACTACCACAAAGAGGTGAGGGGTTGCGTCGGGTTGGGGGCCGGGGGATGCTGGGCGGCGCTGTAATCAACTTGTGTGATTTTTATTCAGAGACGCCTTGCTGGCCGCTGTTCGCCCACTGCTTATTACGGCCAGGCGGGCGTGCGGGTTTTCTGGCCCGAGGTTCCGGGTTTCGGCGGAGCGGGGCAATGACGCGGGCCTCTGCTTGAGCCCTTTGGTGCTCTTCGCGCTGTTCGGCAGCTGCTGAGGAAGGTGCGTCCCACCCCACTGTTTGCCGCACAACTTTTGCGCGCAGCTCATCCATAATACATCCCGCATATTCACCCTCGCCACCACCGTGGCGCGCTTCCCCTCTTCCTGTGCACGCCCCCTTGCAGGTGTGGGAGGCCGTGTCGCCCCGCCTGGCGGACAAGCCCAAGGTGCTGGAGTGGCTCAGGGTCAACACCCGGCCATTGGCAGAGCAGGTGGCCTCGCGGCAGCAAGCCGCGCCGGCCGCCGCTGTTCCGGCTTGAGAAGGTGGTGCAAGGTCCATACGCAGAGTCGGTGCTGTGGGCAATGCAGCAGGGGCCTGACATCCCCGACACTAACGTCGAGGGCAGCCACTCCCCCGGCGGTTCTGGCCCGACGGACGTCGAGCGTTGCTGCTTCCAGTGGATGCTTCTCAGCGCCACCGTACTCTGGCCCATGAACGAGTCGGCAATCGCTTGCCTGCTTGCGTAAATCTCACGCAACACCAGCTTACTGTAATCCTGTGTAATGCTGCATCCCCAGCCTGGCAGGGTGTAGCCCGTATTACCACATTTGCGTGTCCCAAGCCCGGGTTATTTACAAGGAGGAACACAATCTCAACTCAAGCAAGCGCCACACAGCTAGCCTACATCTGCCGTGCCATCTGCTAGTACTCAGGACCGTTCCCAGTGGCAGTGCTGCGCCGCTTGCCCTGCGGGCCCTGCATCCCAGCAGCAGGGCCTGCCCAGTCCCGGCCGCCACTGCCAGCCGCCTCGCAGCCCCTGCACCCCCCCTCTCTCCGCGCCACCTCGTCATCAACTCGCCGCGGCGCCCGCCGACTCGGCAGCCATCAACTCGCCGCGGCGCCCGCCGACCCAGCAGCCGCAGCCGCTGGCTTAGCGCCCTTCTTGCCTGGCGCCGGTCGTGCCGCGGCGACAGGGCGTGCGAGTGGTTGCAGGTACTTGGCCGCCAGGTCAGCCTTTGTCTTCTCCCGTGTCTCCTGCCGTGGTTGGAATTCAGGACATCAGGCGCGAGAACGGGTTTGCCACCAGCCATTTTTGAGAGCAATGTGCTGCACATGCACACAGGCAACTGAGGAAAGGCCTCGAAGATTTGAGGCGCATCTGGCAGAGATACGGCGGTTGTGCAATGCATCTGCTGACACGCTGATGAGGGAGCGCTGGAGTGCAACAATTGAACAACAGTGAAATCAGGGTCCAGTTGCCCCGCAGACCTGGCAGCGCGAGTATAGGTTGGCCATGTACTCGATGTTCTCCTGCTTGGTCACCTGCAGGGCGGCATGCACGGCTCAGACATTGAATGCACAGTGCTTCACCCCTGGATGCCGCCATCTCACCCAGATTGTTCACCTAGGCAGGCATCAGGGAGTTGCTGAAAGCGCTGCCAGCACCCTCGCACATGTGCAAGTGGGCCGGCCACAGCGCTGGATGGAGCAGAGGTGAGCGTGTTGGCGCTCCACCCTTGCATTTACCTCCCCTCACCTCTTTGACCGGGACATAGGTCTCCTTGACGCCCTCGTACACCAGCCGCACCGCCTGCAAATGATCGCCCAAGGGTGGACCTGCTCAATCCTGACTCCTGCAAATGCACACGGCTGCTGGCAGGTGTCTTCACCGAGTGACGCGTCATCCCTTGATTTCCCACCCGGCGCTCACATGCGGACGCCCCAGCTCCCCTCCTGCGGCGGCCTTGACTGTGCAGAGGCGCTCCACCATGGCAGTCATCTCGTCCGGGGTCAGGCGCTTCTGCTTGGCAGTCACGCCGCTTGCAATATGCCTTTGGATGGGTTGATGGAGTTTGAAAAACTTTGACAGGTACAGGCTTGTTTCTCTGAGGCAAGGTGTACAACAATATCCTGGTAGGAGACACCTGATCGATATGTACCAAGCTGCAATTACTCGGCCCACATGGCGGCTCGCAGCAGTCTCTCTTATATGTTGGACACACGTGCTGACATGGTGAAGACCATACGACAGGGGCACGCATACACACATGCACATCTTGCAACACTGAGCCTGCAGCGCACCACTCTGTTTTGCCTCCTTGGGTGCGTTCCAGCTCTTTGAGCATGCGCATCGCCGTCGGCTGCGTCAGCCTCTCCACCGCCGTCTCCTCGTGGCGTTTGGGGTGCGCGGCTTCGCCAGGATGCTCCTCGGCGGGGCTGGCAGTGGCCTGTTGGGGCACAAGGTCAAGCAATCTCCCTGTCAAGCATGCTAGAATGCGTGCTTTCAGAGACAATGTGGATCGCAATCGTTCCGAAGTATGTACAGGCAGGCTAAACCACCCGCCAGCTCACTCTATGTGCAAAGGCTCACCTTCTCGGGGTGGCTCGGAGCCGCAGTCGCAGCCACCTCGGCCGGCGGATCCTCTGGCGTCCGCTCCTCGCATGATCGGCGCAATTGGAGCGCCGGCACGGTGTCACTGTGGGGATTTCCCGCGATCGCCCCGCTCTCCTTGCCCTCAAGAGCAGCCACTTCCGCTGCAGCGCCCTTCCCCTCGGAGTGCTCAGGCTCCAGCCCAGCTAACGCTGCATCCAACTCGCCGTCCTCATCAAACGCCTCTTGGTGTCCACCGTTGCCGCCCTCCTCAGCAACGCCCTTGCCCGCACCACTTTCACCCTCGGCATCCTGAGCTACCTCCGCGCTGACGTCAGGGCCTGCATGCCCCTCATCATGCTGCTGCTCTTGCTCCTCCTGGGCCTGCTCTCCCTGCCCTGCCCGCTGGTGCTGCACGTGCTCCTTCTCAGCGTGCTCGGCCTGCTGCTCCTCCCCCGCCTGCTGCTGCTGCTGCTGCTCCTGCTGCTCTGCCTAGGCCGAGCCCTGGTGTGTCAGCTGCTCCATGCCGCGCTGATCAAGGGGGCTGGCAGTACCGTCCACCACAGGGGCAGCAGTCTCCCCGCTGTCCGCCTCATCCGGTGCTGCTGCTTCGGGCGTCGTGACGGCAGGGGCCTCTTCATTTGCGCCGGCAGAGGCGACGTTGGGCTCGGCGTCTGGCGCCTCGCTGGCCACAGGTGGGTTTGCCTCTGGCACGTGCACAGGCGCGTCGCCGCCGTCCGCGCTGCCGAGCGCCGCTTCTGTTAGCTCACCGCCCTCCATCCCTCAACTTTGAATATCTGAATTAGAGGCCTGCAGTGCGTTGATGTCTGAAAGTTTGCACAACACTTCGCAAGCCCGGCAGAGTGCATGCGCTGTCAGCGCAGCACACAATGCGTGCGCACTGCAGTTTCAAGTGGCAGGGAGTTCGCACGCTACCTGACACACAACGAGCCTCGTAATTAAAGTTTCTTTGTCAAGATAAACCCCTCAGGCGCCCTCACCAAGCTCGAAATGACGGAATCCAATGTCGCAATGTGCAAAGGTCAGGTCAGAGCTACTGGACCATTTACAATACATGATGATGTTTCAAACGTATTGAATGTTTTTAGCGAAGCCATGACACCACGGCATTAACCCTGCGAGCCTTTCGCAGGCCGCAAGCCAAACGCAGCAGCCCCTGAGCAAGTGGAACCCGCACCCACAAACACTGCAGGCAGACACCCCCATTGAAAGATTGAAACAGATACATAATCATAATATCAACTGCTGGATCTAGTGTTACAGGTGTTCCCCAGCCTACCGACCTGTAAAACGAGAGGTTTGTCTAGCCTCGTCCATGAACCGATGATGAGGCAAATCCTGAAGCATCATAAGAGCGATCGAAAGCCGTGAATGCTCGCTCAGGCCAAAAGGTGGCCGAGCGCGCCCTTTCTGTAAAAGCTGGTGCTAATCTAAGTATGGGGCCAGCCCTGAAACGCAACGCGTCCAAGAAATGGAAGGAAGACGGCGAGGTTCCAGAGCTCGCCGCTGCGGCGGTCCCCGGCGAGGATGCGTACGCGGAGCGCGCGAGCGTCGGCAGCGTTGGCCGCATGACTACGGGCAGCGAGGCAGTGTCAGGGGAGGACCAGTTCCTATGCATCACCGTGAGGGAGGCGCGCAATCTGGTGGCGAAGGACTATGAAACGGCCAGCAGCGACCCGTGAGCGGCGGCGTTGGCGGCGCGGGGGCGGGCCGCCGGGCCTGGTGGTTTTCGCTCGTTCCCGCCCCTCCTTGACGGGTTGTTGCACGAAGGGCTTGCAGTGCGTGCAGGCTGCGATGAGACATGCAGCTTGCGCCACAGGTCACGCACCATCCGCTCTCTATGAATGCTCAAGCAGCATGCGTCGCCCCGCGCACACCGACGCAGCATGCGATTGTCCATACACCCCCTTTGTGCTGGCCTTTCTGTTCGCCCCAGGTTTGCCAAGATCACCCTGGGACCCCACTGCAAGAAGTCGCGCGTCATCTACCGAAACCGCCACCCCATGTGGCAGCAGCGGTGCGCAACCAGCCCCTACCAGGGCCCCCTTAAGACCCAACTGCTCTCAACCGCTGCCTCAACATGCACGAAGCCAGCTGGCCAGCAGCCAGGCCCCCCACACAAAGCGCAAAGCTCTTCAGAGCGGCCAATGCGCCTTACAAGGCACATAATACCACTACCACTGCCACGGCGCATGTCTTATGTTGCCTTTTGCAACTGTGTAACCCCATGCGACCCGAGCAGCCTGCTGTTCCCCCTGGAGTCTCTGGGGGAGGGGGAGCCCCTGCTGGTGGAGATGTGGGACAAGGACTTTGCGGGAATAGAGTTCCTGGGGCAGGTGAGTGCATGGTTCATTGGGTGGGGTATGCAAGGGAGGGAAAAGAGGGGGCGGCTGGTGGATGCAACACAAACCTTGCGCCGGCGGCGTCACCCACAGGCCGTGACTAGCCCGACCCCGGGGTGCGGCTCAGCACACGGGCTGCTGAGCTTGGCGAGGGTTGCAAGGCGTGGCGTCTCGATCACACGAGGATGCTGTGTGTGCAATAACCGCGCCCCCTCAGGTGATCATGACGCTGGGCAAGGCGCTGGAGATCGCGCAGGACCCAACCACAGGCCGCGCCTACTGGTGAGCCGCGGCCGCCGGCCCACACGCACGGCGCGGCGGTGGCAACAAGGCGGTGGCGGCAAGGCAGGCATTACAGCAGCGCCGCTGGGACAATGTCCGAGAAATTCTCGTCAGAATTTCTGACGAGGGACACTCTGGCTGGCAACACACCAGCAGAATAGAATGGAACGCGATGCATGCTGGACACACTGTGCGCCTGTAGTGCGGCTGCCGCCTGATTTGAATCCAGCCTTGAACCCTGTACACCCCATTGTCCTCTCCTCTGCAGGTTCCCCCTGGCCAAGAAGCGCTCCACAGACATCGTGGCCGGCCACCTGTGCCTGGGCTTTGAGGTGCTGGACGCCTTTGCATACGCTCAGGTGCGGCGTGACAAGCGTGGCCCGGGGCCTGCTTCAGGTGTGTGACGCGGCGGGCCGTTGGCTTTAGGGATTGCAACTGCAGCGTGGCGGCAGCAGAGCCCTTGGCCACTTGCTTCAGGCATCCAGCACAAGTTAGCTGCTTTGTGTGACAACTTGTCAAAATCGAGCCTGCATCTGCTTTTGTACACAGCGACACACTCCTGATCCAATACACACATCTGCTCCGCCGGCGGTCAGCTCAGCCCCGGCTCAATCTCAGAACTACACCTGCCCGTGAACCGCCCCCCCACCCTGTGCGTCGCCCCCAGGTGGCGCCAGAGGTTGAGGCTGAGATGGACCCGGAGGCCATTGTGGCGGCGCTGGGGGGCCGCGCGCTGCACGTTCAGCTGCACGGCCTCAACGGCCTCAGGGCCAACAACCTGTCGCTGGGGGTGAGCCGCTGATCGTATCGATCATCGTCCAGAGGGTGTGCCTGGCAGGGTATTGCAGAGGTTGGCAGGGTGCCTGGATACGCCCTAACATGCGCAGCAGGGGCATTGAAGGGAGCGAGGCAGGGCTTATTTTTCAGAAACGAAGGAATCCGTCCCATGGTTGCATCCCTGCCTTGGACGTCCGCAGGCCGTGAACACTGCGGCGGGAGCGGCGCCCAGCCCCCGCGGGCCGGGGGGCGGCGCGGGCAAGCCCAAGTCGTGGCCGCGCGCGCGGTCGCTGTACATCCGGTTCGGCCGCTTTTGCCTGGAGAAGCCCCTGCCTGCCGGGTGCGAACGCATGCTTGAGGTCTTCGGAGGCGTCCAGCAGGGGCGGGGGGGGCGCAAATCAAATCAAAACCGTATTTAACGGAAATTGACGGGTGGCAGTCCCGGGTCAACAAGTGCCGCAGCGTGAATAATCCGCGGCCTGACAAGGCCGCCAGCGCTGCACATTCTGGCGCAACAAACAGGCCAAGTTTGGGACGCAGCGACACTGCTCGATGGTCCTGCGTCACCAGCCTTTGTGCCCACACCACATTATGTCATAACCCCCTCCCGCGACCCAACCCGCCTGCACAGTTTTGACGAGCCTGGGGGCGAGTTTGAGGTGGCCATCAACGAGGAGGTGCTTATACCGCTGGCGCCCGCGCTCAGGCTGGGGTCGCTGGGGGCGCGCCGCAAGGACGAGGTGCGGCCGGGAAAAGAGACGCACGCAGGGCGCACGGGCGCGAACCTTCCTCCTCCCACTCTGTGTGTGTGTGCATGCGAATCGCTGGCAGGGCATGTGCTTGGCGTATCTACCGTATGGCAAGGCAGGGGAGGCTGCGCCCTAGTGACAATATGCTGCGAGTGCAGGGTTTTAGACCTGTTCTTCGGCGCCCCTGGACAATCGTCGGTAGGATTGGTCCCCAGGGCCACGGCCCCAGGCACGCACACCTGACGTGCCCCTTCCACTCCCCAAATGACCCCTAAATCGCCGCAGCTGCACGACATCAAGATCTACATCAAGGGGACGACGCACACAATCGCCAAAACTCAGATCCCGGTCTGGGACGTGCCCATTGAGGACGCAGGCCCCAGCGGCGGGGGTCTCTCCCCAATTGCCGATGACGGCTGCGGCAGCGATGGCGGCGCTCCCGACGCCATAAGCGCGACAGCGGCGCTCGCCGCAGCCTCGGCGGCGGCGCCGGGGAGCCCTGCCGCCACGGGTGCTGGCGGCCGGGCGACGCCTCCCGCGCTGACGGGGGCCGCAGCGTCGGGCCAGGGCGGGCGCTTCCCTTCGCCGCGGGGCGCGCAGTCGCCGGCCGCGCGCCCCCAGAGCGGCCGCGCGACGCCACCCCTGCGGGCCAACGAGGAGCAGCCGGGCAGCCCGTCGCCGCGCCTGGACCGCGCCAGCCCACCGCCAGCCTTCAGCGGCCCTCGATGCTCGTGGCTGGGGGTTCCTGCCGCCGTTGCAGCTGCGGCCGCCACCGGGGCCCCTGCCTCTCCCGCCACCATTGGGGCCCGCAGCTCCAGCCCGCAGGGGCTTGGCCCCGACTGCGACCCCTCCTGCGCCGCGCTCCTGTTCAAGAAGCGCCCGGACGACCCCGCCTCCGAGCCCTGCTCCCCGCGCGGCGCCACTGCCGGCGACAACGGCAGCGGCGGCGGCGGCGGGGGCGCAGGCGCGGACAGTGCAGCATTCAGCATCCCTGCGCACCAGCCGGGGGACTGCGCGTCTGACGACGACGCGTTTGGTGCAGACGGCCTGGTGCAGCGCAGCAGCAAGAGCGAGAACGCGAGTGGCGGTGGCGGCGGCGGCAGCGCAGCGGCAGCGCTTGCAATGGCGGGGCCAGACAGCACGTTGGCGCGCCCCGGCGCCGGCGCGGCCAAGGGCGCAGCTGGCGGGCCGCCAGCTGCGGGCGGCCCGCGGAGGCGTGCGGCGGCGGCGTCATACACGTCTGGGGCCGGCAGCAACGACCTGTCCCGGAGGCTGCGGTCGATGCTGGCGCCGGGCGCGCGGGAGGTCAGCCGCATGGGCTGGGCGCCGCTGCGGCCCACGGCCTCTGCTGGCGACGACCCCGAGCCCCTGCCCTCCGTGGCGGCCACGGCGGCGGCGCTGGGTGCGACGCCGGCGGCGGCGGCGTCCAGCGGGGCCACGTTGCCTGTGGCAGTGGCGGTGGTGGCAGGGGCATCGGCGGCGGCAATGCCGGCCACGTTTGCGGCGGACGCCTTGGGAGGTGGCTGGAAGGTGAGCATCATGTGTCCAGGGAGCAAGGGAGGGGGTTGTGTGAGTCGTTTATCAGCGTAAACCACGTCATGGCTTGGCCATCAGCAAGTTGATTGTGGTTGAAATCTCAATCCCTGCAATCATCACACCCCAGGGCTCTGGCGGCAAGCGCTACCAGCGCACCCTCGAGTCCCACCTGGCACTGACGGCAGGCAACCTGGAGATAGCCGTCACCCTGCGCCTGGTGCCCCTGCCGTCGTCGACGGCGGCGCCCGAGGCGGTTGCCATTGCAGGTGCGCCTGCTGCCTGCCGGAGCCCGAGGGCGTCGGTGGCTTGGCCTCGGCCACTCCTACATTGGCGGGCCTTGATGCCTGGAATGTGCAGGATGACACCTGATTTTCGCGAATGCTGCACACGGTCCAGGCCATCAGGCTGTGCACTAGCCTTGACTGAGCTGTGGCTGACACAACCTGCCTCGTTTGCATTGACCCTGAACATTGGCAGCCGGGGGCGAAGCACGAGTCCTGGAAGACGAGGATGATGACGAGGACGGTGACGGAGGGGGGTGTCAGCAGGGGTTTGGGGCGAGGGTTTCTATTGGGGGCACAGGGGGGTTGGTGGCAGGGTGGATGAGGTCTGAGTGGTCCAGTGACGGCACACCCCATGCAGGTATGCTGCTTGCAGATGTGCTGCCTCGCACGTGCGCTGCAGCTTTCCCGCCTGAACTTGAGGACTGGATATCGCCCGCTGCTGACCCCTGCTCCCGCCATGCACGATGATGAACCGCGACTCGCAGTGCCGGACGCGGCCCCGCTGGTGCCGCCCCCGGCGCTGAACATCCCGGTGGTGGACACCCCGGTCAACCTCGGGGTCAACGCCCTCTACGCCCTCATGTTTGGCGCCAACACCGCGTTCATGGCTGGGTTCTGGGCCTCAGAGGTGGGGACGGCGGCGGGGGGCGCGCGGCTTGCGTCAAGGCGTGGGGGCTGCTTGAGGGACGTTTGTTGTGTCAGCGCTGATACAACTCACGTACACAGTCGTGCCGGCAGCTCGCTCACCATATGACTTGAACCACTGCACTTTGCGCAAGTGCAGCCCTCTTCACCCCCGACCTGGCCATACACCCGCCTCCCCCCCCCGACGCACCCAGGACCTGCGTGATGTCATCGTGACGTCATGGGGGCCCCCCGCCGACCCCAACCCCGCCGTCGGCTGCGCCCTCGCGCTGCGCAGCCGCAAGGTGTCCTATGTCAAGCCGCTGCGCATCCCGATACCCCTGGCTCCCAAGCAGTGCAGCGTGTGGGAGGAGCAGCGCCTCGTCAGCAAGGGGGACGGCGGCTGGGTGGTCGAGTGCAAGATGATCAACGACGCGCCAAAGGGGGACTGCTTCTACGTGCTCGTGCAGCTGTGCGGCCTGCACCGCGCGAGCGGGCAGTGCCAGCTGCGCATCAGCATGCAGGTGGGTGGGGTTGTGCTCACGAGCGAGGCGTTGGGACATCGCCTGCTTCCAGGAGCTCTGGCAGCAGGGCTGGCGCCTAGTCTGCGTCGCCCTCGTCCTGCCTGCCCTGCTGCCAACCTTCAGCTCAACTGCGTTGCTTGCTTCATGCCCACGGCAATGGTGCTTTCACTGTGTTGGCTCCCAAGGTCACTTGTTCGTGTAGCTCCAATCTGAGTCCAGTATCCCAAACTTGCACCCACCATCAACCCCAGATGGTGTTCCACCGGCAGTGCCTAGGCAGGGGCATGATCCAGGCTGGCGCTGAGTCCGATGCCCGCCGCGGCTGGAACGCCCTCGTTGCGACCCTCCAGCGCCACGCCGCCGCCACCAGCCCCGCGGCCGCGCTCGCCGCTGTACCCGCACACCCCGCGCTGCCGCCCGGCGTCGTCGGCGGCGCGGCCGCCGACGCGCTGGCGTCGCCGCCCGGCTTCGAGCCGCGACCGGGCGGCGGGTGGCTCGCGTCGCTGCTGGCGGGGCCCTCAGCGCGCCGCCCGTCGGCGTCGCTGGTCCTGCGGGCGCTCACGCTGCTGGCCCTGCTGCTGCTGGCCGCGGCCGTGCTGCACGCAGGCGCGAGCGTATCGCGGGAGCTGCGGGAGCTGACCGCCGCCGTCCGCAAATCTGGCTGCGCGTCGGGCACGCGCGGGGGATAGGGCCTGCGCTTTGCGGCGGGCGTCGTCGCTGCGGCCCGGTGTCGGCGGCTAGCCGGGGGTATTAGAGCGGCTGGGTGCTGCTGCACCTTTCTATACCCGCAAGCAGCGCGCGCGGCGGGCCTTCCTTATGTGCGTTGTTGTTGGCGCCGATGCCGGCCTGAGCATCCTTCCTGGACCTGCGCACCGCCGGGGGGGCAAGGCGCCAGCCGTGCCTTCCTGTTTTGCCCCTTCGTGACGCACCGCCTCACGCATCCCATGCAGCCTTTGAGCGCGGCTCGCCACCTTGCAGCATGGCGCACGCGCAATAATTTACGCCAACACGCCGCCAGAGCGGCCATTCTACGTCACCATAACCTTTACACAGCAGCAGCGCGCATGGGGGAGATTGCGCCGCAAGGGATCAACCCAAGGCGCAAACACTTTTGACCCCTCACCCGCAGCGGTTGCACACACACGCAAGATGTGAAACTTGGGAATTGCTGCGCCTGCTTCACACCTCGCAGCGCTTGCTCATCACGCTCAACCACCAACATATGTTTCAGTGCGCATATCTTGAACTTGGGGTGCCTTCCGGGCGGATGCAACATGCAACCAGGCGTTCAGGCTTCCTTGTTTTGAGCCGAGGCGCATGGCGCCAGGTCAGCGTGCGTTTGCCGACACCCATGACGAGCTCTGAGCATCACGCCGAGGTGCGTGCACGCCAGAGCAGTTGCCTAGGCTTCCGCGCAGGGTGTGAATGAATGTGAGTTTTGAAACGTCAAGTGCCGTGTCAATAAGACACAAATGCTTTTCAGTAACAGGCATGCCATGCGCCAGTGGCAGGTGCAAGGTAGAATGATTGTTCAAAGCCCCTTGTCAAGCAAGTTTTTGAGTCGCCATGAGTACAGGTCATGACTGACCATCGTCATCCTCAAAAAGGTTTAGGGGAAATGGTGAAAGTCTGTCAGCCGTGCTTGAATCCGGGTATGCTTCATCCCAGTCAGGCAGCCCATGCAGCATCGTCCCGAGGACGCCCCTGCACTTGTCGCACATCCCGTACACCTGCCCGTGCCGCCGGCTCGCGCCTGCCGCGCCGCCGCGCGCACCGCCTCTGCCCGCGCCGCCCCCCTCGTCGCCGTCGCTTTCGGAGCCGCTGCTGGAGCTGCTGCCGCCCCAGCCCCCTGCGCCCATCTTTGCCGCCGGCTTGGCCCATGTCGCCGTCCCTGGGGGCGCCCCCCAAAAGAACTCGACCATCGCGACCGGCTGCCAGCCGCGCTCCGCTGCGGCGTGAAGCAGCTTCGGCGCGCAGCAGTCGCCGCAGCCGGCGGGGAAGCCGACGAACCCGCCCGCGCGCGTGAGGGGCAGAGGAGGCTCGAAGCGCCGGGCATGTTCGAGGTAGGCGTCGAGCAAGCTGATGGCGCCGCCTGAGCAGTCGCGCGTGAGGTAGCTGCGCTGTATCTGCTTTTTTGGCGAGTTGTGTGGTGGAGTTGTGGTGCCTTGGTGCCCCTGACAAGATTTATGGCGGGCGCTGGTCACGAGGAGGCACCACCACAATACCTAATCAGCACATAACTTAGCAGTCAATTTGGCAGCGCAGCCGCAGCTGAAAACACGACGACCCCCCCCAAAGCTGTTTACGACCTCTCTGCCAGCACCCAAACCTCCTCTGCACTTCGCACCTGTTCCAGCAAGTGGTGCGACACCGCCTTGCGCCGCGCCACGAGAAGCTCGAGCTGGGCCAACACAAACCGCTCCGCCGAGCTACCGCCGTCCGCGACGCGCGCACGCCTGCCCCTCCGCCGCCGCCGGCCCCCTTCCTGCCCTCTGTCAACGCTGTCACCACCCAAGCTACCGCCGCCGTCAAAGCGCGGCCCCTCGGCCACCTCCGATGCGCGCTGCTGCAGCGACCTGAGCCGCTCGATACGCGCGCTGAGGCGCTCCGTCAGGTCACGCACTGCAGCGTAGTAATCCCCGCCGCTGGTGACGCCCTGCACGGGGCCGCACCATCCGGGCACCACCCAGTCCTCAGTAATCTGCCCGCTGAAGGCCTTGAGGACGCGGGCCCCAGGGTCGAGGCCAGGTGCATACTCCGCATCCGGCCCCGCTTCTTGAGATTCCGCCGCCGTGGGTGGAAGCGCAGCCGTCGCCGCCGCCGCAACGGTCGCTGCTGGCGGCACCGTTGGGTCGTGCGCGATCAGGACGCCGAGCATGCGGCCCGGGCCCTTGCTGCGCGGCGGGCCAGCGCGGAGCGCAACGGGATGAGCAGGGGCGGCGCGCTCATGATGCGATCCGGCAGGCAGCGCTTGAATGGGCGGCACCCTGGCGACTCCGCTGCCCTGCGTTCTCGTGATCACGTGCCTGGTACTCAAGCCCAAGCCCGCACCAACAAGCCCTGCTCCCGTTGATACCCAGAGCACCTGCACTGCTGTAGGTAGACACCCATAAGTTCCAGCAGCCAAATGACGTCTGCTGGCCTCCCCCATGGTCACCTGCCGTCCAGGTAGTCCGTTGTGAACCGCGGATCCCCTGGGCCGGGCGCCTCCCAGTCCAGCCGCCCCTCCGCCGCCACGCGCCGTGCGAGCGCACGCGCCGCAGCAATCGCGGCAGTGTTGGGGCGCAGCTCGTGAGTGCCGCCGCACGTCACGCAGCGGCCGCCATACGCCAGCATGGTGATGCCTGGTGGGCCGCCGCTCTGCGTCAGTCACCGGTACAGTACCGGTAGTGTTGCGCCGCACTGCTGATGCACAACGAGTTTGTCGCTAGATCGATTCAGATCATAGATATGTATGAATTAACAGCGATAAATATGCAGCAAACACAGGGATGGGTTCGGTGTTGGCGATAACAAAATGCAGATCAAGCCTGATCTGCTGCCCGCTTGTCTATGAGAGCTAATCTATGTGAACTAGTCTCGCAATTGCCGAGTGCTTGTGTTGAATCAACACAGGCATGACTCAACACAGGCAAGCAACAATGTGAGTGTGCACAAGAGTTTGCGACAACTCGGCATGAGCGAGGCAATGACAGCTGTGAACCCCACTTGCAGCGGCGGCATGGAGATGTCCAAGCACCAGGCCGAGAAACGGTCACAAGCACGTGGATTCGATACATGGCAGCCATGGTTCCAGACCACGCATGAACACGCCAGTGTACCTGCCCAGCGGCACTCCTGTCGATGATTATAGACTTTAGTGTTATGTGGACTGTGCGCTCGTCAACACAGTTTTCCTTGTAGAAGAAGCAACCAGGTTTGACCTGGAGCTATTGTACATGGGACCATTCTAAGACTTCAAGAGACACTCACGCACTCCACAGTACTCGAGTGTCGAACCGCTTGATTTTTGGGAGAGTCTGGTTGCACGACGCAGCACATCTCTGAGAATCTGGACCACGTGCTGAAGCTTCAAGGCCTGATGATCAAACGTTGGCTCCCACCGCTCGCGCGGGGGCCTCCGAGGCCTGGGGCTACAACGTGGCTGAACCGAGGACGATTTCAAGGGTTTCCCCTTGTGCCACAACGGCCTGCTCACACTACTGGTGCACACTTGTGCTCGGTGAACCTTTCTTGAACTGGATCACGGTGTTTGCCCTTGGGTTTTATGGATGAGCCTCCCGTGAAAACCGCCTATCATGGTAGAATACGTGCAATGTATGTGATCACTGTTTCATATGGTGCCTGGTCCCATTGTGCAAGCCAGCTTGCCATCAAGCAACACAGCCAACACATTAAACGTGCAGTAGTTCCTCCTCACACACAATGCAGGCGTGCAAGGAGTGCTGGAACCTGGACGCGGTCGGGCAGCCTGCTCTGAGTCCTTTGAAGGTTCAGATGGGGGCGCAGCGGAAGCAACCTTTTGTAATGAAATGAGATACCAATGGGATGAGACGCGGACGACCTAACACAAGGGAAGCTTTTTTTTGGGATGCAACAACACCCTTGATACAGAAACATCGAGGATGGAGCACACGCGTGTGGGGGGTGAGCTGGTCCGCCTATGACAGGCTCGGAGCCTGTGACCGTGTTGACCGACCAAGGGCCTTGTGGCTGGGATGGCCGAGTAATTCATGAAACCATGGAGGAATTGTGTGAATAGTTACACATGGACGTCTCATCCAAGCGCTTGGCCCGTTCTGCCGACATCAGATGTGAAGTGCCGCTGATGTTTAGCTCGACTGTCGAAACCCCCTTGATACAGTGCCGTTGAATTATATTTTAATGACTGTGATTCCTATCCAGGCCGTGCCTGGTAGCACGGCGCAGACAACTTAGCCTGATCTGAGTCGCTGGACAGCGTATATAACAAGCAGCGAGAGCATTGTCATTTTTTCGATCGTGAGGCATATTGTCAGGGGCCGCGCAGCGCCAAATTCGTCAGTGCGGCACTAAGTGCGTGCACCAACCGACAGCCACGATGCGCCGACGTGTGGCGACCCTGGCGACATGCAACCTCAACCAGTGGGCGATGGATTTCGACGGAAACCTCCGCCGCATCATCGAGTCCATTGAGCGCGCCAGGGCGGCAGGCGCGACATACAGGGTGCGCCTCGCAGGGCTGAGTCAAACGCTTGCCGCCCCCTCTGCGCAAGTCGCGAGCGCTGCGGCTGCCCAGTCGGCACCCTTCAAAACTCCGTGCAACACCCCAGGCTACGCCCCTCCCCAAGCCTCTTGCACTGCATCTGACCCCTGCTGCAGGTGGGCCCTGAGCTTGAGGTGCCTGGCTACGGCTGCGAGGACCACTTTCTGGAGCTGGACACTGTCGAGCACTCCTGGGAGGCGCTCACGGTGCGGCGCCGTTACCATGCATTGTGCATGCAACACCATGCATGTGACATGCACATGTCATGCACCCGTCATGCGATAGCCGTGCAATCTGTTGGGAGCATCGCCGAAAGCCTGGCTGGGTGTTATGGCTTTCCTGCTTGCAGTCATGGTCACTGTCCTGTGTGACAGCGGAGCTGCCCAGGCGATTCAGCACAGAAGGCTGCGGCGTCGGCGGCCTGTGAATGCATTCTGAATCGGATGTGCATCGCAATCGGTGTGCAGGAGATCCTACGCGGCGGCCACACCAAAGGCCTGCTGTGCGATGTCGGCATGCCAGTCGTGCACAGAGGTCTGTGGCCCGCCAGCTGCGGGCACATGCATCGGTTTGCATGCTGCTGTCGCGTTACAGCCGGTGTGGGAGAATTTTTAGGCTCTGTTCAAAATCCAGGCACTAGCTGCAACCTCCCGGCTCATGTACCAGCTCCTGGCCTGCGTCGCCCTAGCCTGCTCCTGCTTCCTCTTATGAACGCTATGCTCCCCCTCAGGCGTGCTGTACAACTGCCGCGTGTTCATGCTTGACGGCCGCATCCTGCTGATTCGCCCCAAGCTCCACCTGGCCAACGATGGCAACTACCGGGAGCCGCGGTAAGCAGCCTGCTGGCGCCTGCTGCGTGTCACGGACGCCGCCGTGCTGGTGGATTTGTGAACCCTCGTGCCCACTGAGACATGCCTCAGCTTGCCCGATTGTGCGTTTTTGTGAGCCTGCGTGGGTCTAAATAGGCAACCTTATCTACACACAGCACTGTAGTCGAAGGATACGACATATTCTGTAGCTGTGTAGCTGCACCCGTGGTATGGCCACTGGCGTTGATTGGCCGCCACATCATGCAAGCCCTAGCCGGATTCCACCTCACCAACCCTGTTCTTGCCACCACTTCATGTTGCCTGGACCCGCAGCTACTTCAGCACGTGGAAGCACAAGGGCGTGCTGGAGGACCATCTCCTGCCGCCCGACGTCCGCACAATCACTGGCCAGACCATGTGCCCCTTTGGTGACGGCGCGCTGCGTCTGTCGGACGCGCTGCTTGCAGCGGAGACCTGCGAGGAGCTCTTTACTCCACAGGTGAGTGCGTCAAGAGATTGCATGGCCCTAGTTGCTGCGACGTCATGGCGCACGTGCACGGGCATGCTTGCATATTTTGTGCATGTGTGTGCGTGTGTGCGTGTACAGGAAGACATGCTTGACATCGTGTACTACTGATGCATGCATGCACCTGTTGCCTCGATCACGCATGCCGTCAACCTGTGACCCACATGCATGTTCTTTTGAGGCAACCCCACTGATTGCACGTCCACTGCCCAGGCACCCCACATCTCCCTGGCGCTGGCCGGCGTGGAGATCATCAGCAACGGCAGCGGCAGCCACCACCAGCTGCGCAAGCTTGACACACGCCTGGACCTCATCAACTCCGCAACCGCCAAGGCGGGCGGCGTGTACCTGTACGCCAACCAGCAGGTGAGAGGAGTGTGGATTGCAGCATGTGTATGTGCATGCATGCGCGATTCTGTGTTTGATGTGCTCGCGCATCCAAGCGCGCAATTTGATGACACATGCGGACGAGCTCGCGCGCTGCAAATCAGCATGCTTGCATACCTGGATTGGGCTGCACAGGGCATGGCAATATTCAAGGGGCGGCCTGCCCCCTTTTGGCCCCACACGTGCATCCCTCCCTTCCACTTTCCCATGTTTCTAGGGCTGCGACGGCGGGCGCTTGTACTACGACGGCTGCGCGTGCGTCGCCGTCAACGGCCAGCTGGTGGCGCAGGGCAGCCAGTTCAGCCTCTCAGATGTTGAGGTGCGCGCCTCCGGGCCGCAGGGCGCTTGCCACAGCCTCGCATTGGTTACTATCTACTATGCAATGCGGTTTGGATGCAGCTCTCAAACACTGCATGGAGGCTCCTTCAATGTTCATATGTGGACATCCTGCTGATCGATTTGAAAGCATCACACGCATATCGCCCAGACGGCGGTTTTGGTCGCAGAACGGCAACAACCACCATACCTATCAAATGTTTTTGACTGCTTTGACCGGGTCGACCACAGGTTGTGACGGCGGTGGTCGACCTGGACGAGGTGGTGTCGTACCGCGTGGCCATCAGCAGCCTGAGGGAGCAGGCGTCCGCCATCGCCGCGCCGGCGCTGGTGGAGGTGCCCTTTGAGCTGTGCACGGGCAAGCCGGGCCGCGAGGCGCAGGTCTCCCTGCCTATGGAGCCCAGGGTGAGCAGTAATGTTGAGACCTAGCGGCTCCAGGAGCCAGAAGGGCAGGGGCTGTTCTTGCGAATTGTTTTGGGTGTGAATGGGCTGTGAAGTGCGTGTGATACACAGTCAGCTCAACAGATCTACATGCACTGCGCTTACTGGCTGTACCAAGTATCGGCCCAGCATGGTTTGTCTCGCTTTGCCTTTTGTCCTTTCTCCATCTGGCACATCTCATGACCAAGCCCACCACAAATTATCATCATGCCATTCTCATGTACTGTACTGCCCCTTCAAACCCCGTTCCAAAGTCCATGCGGCATTTGCACTCCCGCGCCTTAAAACCTGCCGTGCCTTGCAGTACCACCTGCCCGAGGAGGAGATCGCCCTGGGCCCTGCTGCCTGGCTCTGGGACTACCTCCGTCGCTGCGGCGCCGCTGGCTTCCTGCTGCCGCTCAGTGGTGGCGCCGACAGCAGCGCCACTGCCGCCATCGTCGGCAGCATGTGCCAGGTGACAAAGCCTGGGGCTGCTCGGCCCTCCCGCAACTAGCCTTACCATATGCCGCAGCCCAAGCCCTTGCCAGCTTTGGCACTCAAACTAGCAGCCTTCGCATCCCGGACGTTTGTTCTCAAAAGCACTCTACTGAGCGTTTCTCTGTTCCCTTGTGTCCTCCCGACTGACTTGCATCCTCTCGTCCCTGCAGCTAGTGGTCAAGGCTGTCGCGGCGGGTGATGCGCTGGTGCTGGCGGACGCGCGCCGCATTGGCAAGTACGGGGACGCAGAGACCGTAACAGACCCGCAGGAGCTGGCGTCGCGACTGTTCACCACCGTCTACATGGGCAGCGCAAACAGCTCAAAAGAGACGCGCGACAGGTGCGTTGTGTGTTGTGCATTTTCGCAAGTGGGTGTGCTATGTGTTTTGTTTACAAGGCGTGGGGGTTGATGGAGGACCCGTGTTCGTCGCCCCATAGAGGGTGTGTTAGCGAGAGTGGGATGGATCTTCGATGGTTCCAGGTGATTTCAGCACCGGCAGTGCCAGCTGGACGCGCCATGCGATGCAGTGCCCGACCCTGCCCCTGGCCAGCGAGCTCCAGCCCTCCTCACCCCGGCCCCCCCCCTTATTGGTCCCCTGCCGTGCCCTTCGGACCTGTTCCTCCAGCGCCCTACTCAACACTTTGCCGCGCCTGGACCCCGCTCCGATCCCACCCTCCGCACCCAGCGCCCCCTCAGCCGCCTCTCCCCTGCCCCTGCGCCGTGCAGGTCTGCCCTGCTGGCCTCCCAGGTGGGGTCCTACCACATGGACGTGTCCATTGACTCCATCGTGGCCTCCCTGCTCACGCTCTTCACCACGGTCACCGGCAAGATGCCGCGCTTCAGGGCAGACGGCGGCAGCCCCCCGGAGAACCTCGCCCTGCAGAACATCCAGGTGGGCCTGCCGCTGCGGCGCTGCCCCGGGGGAACAAGTTGCATGGCACAGCCACTCGCCTGCACGCCCACTTACGCTCTCGACTCGCGTGCCTGCACCTTGCCCGGCAAGCTCAAGCACCTTGGGGGGCTTGAGCTGAGTCTTGGATTGCGCCGTGCTGCAGGCGCGGCTGCGCATGGTGCTGGCGTTCCTGCTGGCGCAGCTGTCCCCCTGGGCTCGCGGCCGCTCCGGCTGGCTGCTGGTGCTGGGCAGCGCCAACGTCGACGAGGCGCTGCGCGGGTGCGGGGCAGCGGCGGCGGCGCGGGCGCTCTAACAAAAGCGGCCAGGGCCTGGCTTCGAAAACCGCTGCTGAGACGCTTGCGGCTGAGCATAGCGTCCAACACGGGCCGCCATCGCACCCACCGACACCACCACCTGCCTTGTGCACGTGCTCTGCCCTGTGTGCAGCTACCTGACCAAGTACGACTGCAGCGCCGCGGACATCAACCCCATCGGAGGCATCTCCAAGGCAGGGCCCCGGCGCCTCGCCGCCCTGCAGCCTGCACGCCGGCCCTGCCCGTCCACCAGCGCCTGCCTGAGCGCGTGGTTTCTCACGGCAAAGCCTGCAGGTTGCTGCTGTACGTTGCGGTCGCAGGTTGAGGCGACTCGACTGATTGCTCCTCGCCTCTCCCTTGGTTGCAACCACAGGGTGACCTGAAGCGCTTCCTGCGGTGGGGCGCCACCCACCTGGGGTACGCCGCGCTGGCGTCGGTCGAGGCGGCGCCACCCACGGCGGAGCTGGAGCCCATCAGGTGGGCTGCGATGTCACCCAAGTTTGCGTGCCTTAGCTTCCTCCAGATGCAAGCCTCTCACAGCTCCCGCCAGCCAATGCCGCACCCTACCATTGGCGGCAAGCGGTCAAGCTGAAAAGCGGCCAAGGCAAAAAGTTCTTGCAACGCGGCCGGCAACAAACTACTGCCTGCAAGCCCCCCAAACCCTTCGCAACAACGCCCTCGTCCCAGCCGTCTTTGCCAGCGCCTCCCTCTCTGCCCCCGGCCTTCGTTTCACCCCATCCCGCGCTCCGCCCCGCCCCTCTCGCGCTACAGGGAGGGCACCGCCCCCCAGACTGATGAGGTGGACATGGGCATGACGTATGACGACCTCGGGGTGTACGGGCGCCTGCGCAAGATGGCGCGCTGCGGGCCCGTCGCCATGTACCGACGCTGCCTGTCGCTCTGGAGGGACACCATGACGCCCGCGGCCGCGGCGGAAAAGGCGCGTCTCGAAGAAGCGGGGCCCGGGTGCTGGCCGGGCGCGGCATGAGGTTGCTGCTCGACATGCGTTTCCCCTTTGCGCCACGTTCTCGGTCCTTTGCCCCACTGCTGGTTGACGCCTTACAAACCATGCATTGAAGTTTGATGCATCCCGAACGAAACCCTGCGACCGGCGTCCCCTTGACGGCACCCCCGCCCCCAAATCCCCCCGCAGGTGAAGACGTTCTTCCGCTTCTACGCCATCAACCGCCACAAGGCCACCGTGCTGACGCCCTCCTACCACGCGGAGAGCTACAGCCCCGACGACAACCGCTTCGACCACCGCCAGTTCCTGTACAACGTGGTCTGGACGTGGCAGTTCAGGCGCATCGACGAGCTCGCTGTCGCGGCGCTCGGGAGCACGGGGGGCGCGCCGCCTGCGGCGGCGGCGGCGGCGGGCAAGTGATCCGGGGGCTGCATGAGGGATGGCACACAAGAAGCGGGGCTGTGGGGGCAGGGATGAATTTTTTGGTGCTTGCATGCCGGATCAATACAAGAACGTGTGCGTGGAGATCCCTTGGGTGCACCTGCACTTGCGAGCTAGGGCAGGGTTGCACAAAGCGCTCGAGCCGTCGTCTCTGCGCCAGCGACCCTCGCTTTTCCAAGCGCAATTCACCACAACCTGTATCAGTCCCAAGTAACTGAATCACTGATGAAGCCCCTGACCAGAGGTGTCCTGACTCGTGTCCCCTGAGTCAGGGCCCCCGCGCCAGGTCCGCGCCGCTGGGTTGTGTGACCACCGGGTTGCCTCCTGGCAAGCGTTCATACCGGCACAACCGAACTCACTGTGCACTGCACGGTATCATATAGCTTGATCACCCACGTTCGCCGCGTTCTGTACACTGCTCAGGTTTGCCTCCAGATCGGTGACAGCACACGCAGCCGTCGAACATGCGTATCCAACAAGTCGATACCTCTAGGCCTGATCGGCCCGCCGCACGGGTGGCAGCCTGCGGCGTCGTGGTCAGGCCTGCCCGCGTGCTTCACCGAAGCCTCCTCATCCCCACCTCTCGGCGTCTGGCCGCCACACCGTGCTACGCTAAGGCCAACAGGTGTGGCACCTGGGCGCCGTAGCGCAGGCCGCTCGCACTTTGTTGACCACCGAGGCTGCGACCTGCTGCAGACGGCGTGATGCTGCCAGCAAGCGGCTGACTGCCCGCGGTTAGGCCGTGAGCGCGCTACACAAAGTTGCATCTAGCATGATAGCTTCAAACATTCACATGGCAGGCCAGTCAAACTGGCTGCGCAACAGCTCTCGTCATGGCGCGGCGGGGCTCTTACCATGCAGCTGCTCCCCACGCCTGCGTCCCACTGCTGCTGGTCTGCAGGTCTGACGGGGGAGGCCCCATTCCTGAGGCATCATCGCTCTTTGAGGACGACTCCACCCAGGTCTGCTGGCAGTGGGCCTGGCGTAAACCGCTTGGCACAGCTGTGCCAGGCGGTTGACAGCGGTTGCGGCTGTTGCGGACGGGAGCGCATGGGGGGAACAGTTGCGAACATGCTGCACGCACAACATACATAACCCCCTGGCTCAAATCGGCGTTCCCAATGCGACCCCTTGATGTGCTCAGGTGGTGATCCGCTGCTTGACAGCGCGCGCGGTGCAGAAGGTCCTGCTGTCGCTGCAGGAGGTGGACGGCTGGGCCGCCCGCTGGCTCAACACCTTCTGCGCCACCCACCCGCCACTGGATGGCGACAAGGTGCGCCCCGGTTGGAGCCAAGGGTATGCAGGCGCATGCAGCGTGATCACTGCGAGCATCTCCAGCCTCGTGGCATGCCGCAGCACCCTGTGGGGTGCGGGGCCACGGCAGCCTGCCAGCCGAGCAGCCTGCAAGCGGTATGGTCTTGCCGGTCTGTTGAGCTCAACATTGAAATGAAATGCTGCGACCCATATATTTGTCCACGCCCATGCAGTTCATCTCCGAGCTCATGCTGGAGGCCCCTGCAGCCCTGGTGGACCCCTACTCTGGCCAAACCCACATGGTGAACCCCACCCAGCTGGCCAGCGGCGTCCTGGCCGTCCGCAAGGAGCTCGCCGGCCACGTTGCCAAGCAGCTGCCCGGCGCGGTGCAGGCGGGGAGCGTAGGGGTGCTGCGGCGCCACCTGGAGGAGCACACCTACGTCAGCGGCAACGCGGGCAACGACGCGCCGCGCACCAGCTACCGCAACAACCGGCGCCAGCAGCGCACCGGCAGCAAGTGGCAGGAGGCCGCCAACTGAAGAGGCGGCGCTACGGCGGGGGCCGAAGCACGCGCGGGTCTGCCTGGTCGGCCGTGCGTGCGGGGCCCGCATGCTGCGCGGCTACGATGGACGCCGCAGCCTGACCTCTTTTCGGCAAGCATGCCGTGCAGCCGCCTGTGTTTCTTGGCACTTGGGTGCTTGGCTGGCCCCTGCGCGCTCGCGGGATTGTGCCGCTGCCGCCCGCTCCCCCATTGCGCTGGTGCGGCTGGGCCGGTGCATCCGCGGGCGCAGCCACCCCTGTTTGGCAACAGCTGCCGCTGTTGGCGACAGCTGCCGCTGTGCGGATTCCCCCGTCGCACACTAGCCGCGGACACTGCAAGCATTGTGAACTACCCCCGACTGGGCCCGGGGTGAGGCAGTCGCGCATGGCGCCCATGCCGCATGCATGCCTGAGCTGCACGGCGTCGCCCATGCGGCGCGGGCTGCTGCGCGCTCGGCCATTATTTGCCTACAGAAAACGCTTGATTATCGGTCCACTGAGTCATTCGATTTGACGCACGCGGCAACGCGAGCGCATGGTGCCGTGAGCCTCAGTGCGATCTTCTCGTCTTTCGTTGCACGCCAGCTGCTGCCATCCAGCAAATGCCGCGTGCGTGTTTGGGCCCATTTGCCTTTGTATTACGATCAACCCACCAGGGCGTGCCGCGCGTCTCGAGGCGTGTCGCGCGCCCACGTGTCGTCCTGTACCACCACTGGTGCGTTAGCAGCACGCGCCTTGCGCACGTTTCAGGTGCGCTCGCCGCACGTGAAAGGCGCATCTCCCCCATTCGCCGCGCTAGTGCGTTGCGTCAAGGCCAGGCCTGGCGGGTGCCTGAGCCCGCTGTGCTTGGCTGGCCTGATGTGTGAGCTGGGCGCGTGGCAGGAAGACCCTGCGTCATGGACGCCAAGCCCGAACTCTGTCCTCCCACGTCCTCCCCTCTCTCCTGCCCTCTGTCCGCTTGTGTGCGGCAATTGCCGTGTTGGTGCTGCCCATGCGCTCTGACCGCGCTTGCAGCCACGCAGCATGGGGGCATGGGTTTGAGGAGGAGCGCCCCAGCTAGTTGGCCCCTGTGAACTTGCTCGCACTGCCCCACGTGGCAACCCCTCACCGAGCGCTGTATCACCACAACACACATTCACGGCCTGGGGCTGGCACCCTGTAGCAGTTTGCATGCATCGTGCCCGTCCTATGGCCTCCCATCCCCTCGCGCCGCGCCTTGCGAGCTGCTTTTCCCCCCACTCTGTGCGCCATGCTGAGCTTTGCGCGCGGGATCGCAGCAGGGGTTTTTATGCACTGACTTGCATGCTTTCTATTTTCTACGGGCGCGTTTCCGCAACAACGTCTGCGCCGCCAGGCGCAGCCTAGGAGCTTGTAAACCGTCAGGCGTGGTGGCCAAGGGGCTCAGGGGTGGGGAGTTGCAGTGGTTGTCGACACCAGGTGTACGACCTGCACACTTTTCAGCTGCTACGCTGAACAGAATTGCAGTTTTTTCAGCATTTTTCACCTCGCACGAGTACAACGCTTTGGGCCCGTGAAACGCAAGTACGCAAAGGTTGACCCTTGACCTGCGGCTACGTATTTCTAACTTCGCGAAAATGTCTCCATGACGAAGATTTAAGCATACGTTTGAAAGGTCGCAGTTCTGGTCGAAGGGATCTGGCCAAGCTTTTGATCAGAATTTGCGCACGTCAGGTTTGTGACATAGCTCGATGAATACAACTCAATCACAGCCAGCGATCCGGTGACGTCAGATTCTGTGTGGGCAGCGCAAACGCCGCTGCCTGGTGCAGCTGCGGCCCGCTCATGCAGGCGCGCCGCAGGCCTGCACTGCAACGCAGCTGCCCAGCCCAGGGCGTGCAGAGGGACAGCTGCTCTGCAGTGAGGGCCCAGCGACCTGGAAGACATGGTACAATGTGACGGGGCTGGCAGCTGCAGCGGCGCCGGTGGAGTCAAATCAGCAGCGGCACTCCAAGCAGGACCCAGCGGCCCTGACGAGCCCGAGTGGTGAGCCGCGGGATCCAATGCGCTCCGCCAAATTGACAGTGCGCGGCATGTGCAGGGGGCCCGCCTTCTGGTCTGGCCGTATGCATCTGCAACCCCAGCGCTGCAGCACGTGGTAAGCAGGGCCCCGCTGAGCAGCGCCCCGACTTGTCCCTGGCCCCGTTCCCAGGTACCACGCTCAGTCCCGCCAGCAGCACCAGGTAGACGAGCCCGCGGGCGGCGCCTCCACCTCAGCCCCATCCAGCCCCAGACCAGCGCCCGCTCGGCGGCGCAGCCCCGTGCCCGCGCCGGCCCTGCGGGCGCCGTCGCAGCCCGGAGGCGCGGCGCTAGGCGAGGGCGAGCTGAGTTCACCGTCGTTCGGCCGCAAGGGCAGTCAGAGGATCAAGTTTGCGTCGTCTGTGCTGGGGGATGACGACGAGGAAGGGCAGGGCAGCGGCAGCGGCGGTGCCGGCAAGGGCGGCGGGGCGGGCGCTCAAGGGGCCTCCGGGCGTTGGGCGTCTCTCCTTGGTTTTGGCGGGGGCGATGGCAACTCTAGCCTGCGAAGCGGAAGGGACAGCAGTGGCAGCGGGGTCAGCCGAATCGGCGCCCTGGCGGGGCACCCTGGGGGCGGCTCGCTCGCACACCTCAAGGCCATGCAAGTGCAGCACTCGCAGCGGCAGGCCGGCGGAGCCACTGCCGCCAGCGCGAGCGGGCGGCGCCAGGCGACGAGCGGCGCGCACCCCGACACAAACCAGCCTGGGTCACCTAGGTGAGAGGCGTCATGCAGTCGTGCGCTGACTGCCCAGCCCCAGAAGCCTGCTGGCTATTGCGAGTTGCAGTCTGATTGTAGACCCCTAGCAATTGCGTATCCTGTCAGACCTTCTGCATCCTCTGGCTTCCCCCAGGGATCGCCCGGCCAACCCTGTGGGCTTTGCCGCGAGCCTCCGGGGCATCCTTGGCGGCACCAGCGTGCGCCTGCTGGGCGGCTTACTGGGCGGCGGCGGCGGCGGCGGCAGCGGCCTGGGTGGTGGGGGGGTCGGGAGCGCCAGTGCTGGCGGCGAGGCCGGGGCGGAGGGCGGCGAGGCGGCGGGTGACCTGTGGTTCACAAAATTGGAGGACTTTAAGCCGCTGTGTCACATGCTGCATCGCGGCCATGTGATGACGGCTTGGTTTGCCCAGGCCAACAAGACTGGGCAGCACTTTGTTCTGAAGAAATACGACAAGAGTGAGCGGTGGGGCGTGCTGTCCTTGCTGCTGCTTTTGGCATTGCTCTGTTGCTGCGCCTGCCCCCGCTGCTGCTGCCGGCGCTGGCGCCGCCGCCGCCACTGCTGCTGCTGCTGCTGCTGCTGCTGCTGCTGCTGCTGCTGTTGCTGCTGCTGCTGCTGTTGCTGCTGCTGCTGCCGCTGGCACCACTGCAGCTGCTGCTAGTCACAAAACCAGTGTAGCGCATGCAGAGCGTGTGAGACAGCTGTGGAGTCTGCGCCTCGCAACGCCGCGTACCCACTGCTGGCCTGTGTGCGCGCGTGCAGACAAAATGACGCCAGCCCAGGAGCGCGGCGTGCGGCGTGCGCTGGCGTTTGCTGAGATGCTTGACCACCCGGCCCTGGTCCGCTGCATGGGCAACTGGGAGTGCGAGGACATCATTTACATAGGTGGGGTTTGCAATGAGGATTATTCGTGTGCGCGTGTGTGTGTTTGTGTTGTTTTTTTTTGGGGGGGGGACATGAGAACACCAACTTGTCTTGACATCCCACAGATGACCTGGGTCTGTTGCAAAACAGGCCTGCCAGTTGCTGCGGCTGTTGGTATTGGTGGCGGTGGCGATGATGGTTTCATCCACCTGTTTATTGGCGCGCAACAATGTGCGCGCCGCTTTTGTCAGCGCCTGCACCTGGGCTCTCAAGGCTTTGATCAAGCATGGGCCCCAACGGTTCCACGCTTCCGGCCCGCAGTGGAGGAGTACGTGAACAAGGGGGACGTGCTCAACGAGGCGATCGCGCACCCAGACAAGTACAACGAGCGGTTCGTGGCCCTCAACGTGGTGCGGCCGCTGCTGTCGGTGCTTGGCTACATGCATGCCAACGACATCATACACAGGTGAGGCCCTGGTTGTGACTGCTGAGGACAGTCATGCCCTGTTGTGGCCTTCACACCTTCACAGTTCATGCATCCTCGCGCGCTTGCACCTCACACTCGGAAGAACCAGCAGTACGCGTCCGCCACACCCTCAGCGGCGGCAGCGCTTTCCTGGCTGCCGCCAAACCCACAGGGCAATCAACCCGGAGAACGTGCTGGTGGGCCTGGATGATCTGGTGCGCCTCGGACACCTCACCGGGGCCCTGGACCAGCACAGCGACCGCCCGGCGTCCAGGTGCGCTCGAGGCGGCGTGTGACGGCAAGGCACACCTGCGCGCAGGCTTGCTGCTTGCCGGCAGCTGGCCGACATGTTGCACGACGCGGCCTGCACTCGCACAACGGGCTTGCTGCTTGTATAGCCCCTGCATGGCCAATTGGCAAGGTAGACCCCACACAACAGGAGCATGGACTGACAAGAAGCAGGGGTGTACGTATGTGATGTCAGTGCACCTCGCTGACAATGCCAACGCCTTGATTTGATTGACCCAAAGGATGGGCCTGCTGGACTACATGGCGCCTGAAATGCTGGCTGTGCGCCAGCAGAGCGAGAGGGACCTAGGACTGGCGGGGGTGCTGGGGCGGAGAGGCGGCAGGCTGAGCAGCGGCAGCGACGGCGACGGCGGCGGGGACGGCGGCGGCGGTGATGGAAGGGCAGGCGACCGTGTGGTGCGGGTTGGCGGCGGCGGATGGGAGGACGAGGGACGCAGCGGCGGCAGGGGCTGGGAAGCGGGCGGCGGGGAGCCTGAGCCGGGGAGCGCGGCGGCGATGGTGGCGGTTGCGCGGCGTGTAGCAGAGCATGAGGCACGCCAGGACGCAGGTGCGCTCTGGGCTGAGGCCGGTGTCCTCCGCACTGCAGGAATCCTCTGGGCTGGTTGCAATGCTGATCGGGCTCTCAGCTTTGGGAAATGTGCGCACATCAAGCAAACTTTTTATGAGGGCCATGCGGCGAATTCTTGACACCGCCGCGCTGACACTCTCTGCCCGCGCCCTGCAGGGTGGGACTCCCACACACCTAGAGACCTGCAGCCAGACCCATCCTTGTCCTGCCTGCCCGGCCCCCAGCGCGCCGCCGCGCGCCTATCGCAGCACTCGGCCTGCGCCTCGCCCTCCCCGCCCCGCGGCACCTCTCCTGGCCCGCAGCAGCCACACAGCGGCGGCGCCTGGGCCCGCCCGCAGTCCGGCCGGCCCCAGTCCGGCGCGTTGCACGGCCGGCCTGGCCGGCCAGCGTCGAACGCAGGGGACCGTGGAGCCGGCCCACGGCCCCGCAAGGGCCCGAGCAATTATGTGGCTGCCGAGTGGGAGGGGCGCGACTACTATAATGAGAAGGTGGACGTGTGGCAGGTCGGCTGCCTGGTGCACGAGCTGCTCTGCGGCTCCATGCCCTTCGAGGTGCGCAAGGGGTGGCGCCTGTGATGCAGGCGCCAAGCGCCTGGTGGTTGGGCTGTCAGGCTGCCTGCACCCTATTGGGGGCGAGGTCATGCACAAGGCGGCGTCTGGGGACCCTCGCTGTCAAACACTACAAGACCTGGGTTGAGCTCTGCCTGAGTGGGGGCTGAAAAGCAGCTACTCGGCGTACCACGAACTGCTAGACAATGACCACCGTTCACGCGACCTCCCTTGGGCTCCGGCCCCCTAACCCCCAACTGCCAACACGTGGTGCTCCCCAGACCACCGACAAGCTGCTGAGCAGCGGCCTGCTGCTGTGGGCGGACATCGACCAGCCGCCCCACGGACTGGCGCCGGACTGCGCGGAGTTCCTGCAGGCGGCGCTGACCAAGGACCCCGCCGCGCGCCCCGCCGCCACGCAGCTGCTGCAGCACCCGTGGATCACGCGCTGCGAGCGGGGGGAGCCGTACAGGGACCCGGCCGAGATCGCCGCGGCGCGCGCAGAGGCGGAGAGGAACTCGCTGCTGGGGCGCATAAAGGCGGCGGTCGCGGCGGTCGCTGGGCTGTTCGCGCGCGGCGCAAAGGTGGCGGCGGAAGACGAGTGGGCGCTGCGGGTCGGCAGCCGCACGGGCAGCAGCAGGACCGGCGGCAGCCGGGCAAGCAGCACGGCGGCGAGCGCGGTCGATTCGAGGGCGGCCAGCGAGACAGACAAGGGGCAGTTGCGGCCGCAGCTGGCTCAGCAGCAGCAGCAGCAACAGCAGCAGCAGCAGCAGCAGCGGGGCGGGCACCCAGGCCGCCGCAGGTCCAGCGTTGACGATGGCGGCGGGGCGCAGCAGCGCGAGCGCGGGCACCACCACTCGCGGCGCAGCAGCACTGGCGGCGATGGCCGGCGCGCGTCGCAGGCGCAGGACGGGCGGGAGCACCAGCAGCATCGGGAGCACCGGCGCTCGTCAGCGCACTCATCTGGTGGCGGCCATCAGCACAAGGGGCGGCGGCGGTCGACAGAGGAGGGTGCGGGCCACCACCACCGCCACCGGCGGCCGACGTCTGAGCAGCCTGCTGCGGGTGCAGCCGGCCAGCCGCGCCTCTCAGGGTCATAGATCTGGGGGCGGGCCACCTCAGCAGCAGCAGGAGCAGGCGGAAAATTCACTGTGGTCCTTGCTGTCTCAGCACTGGAGATTTGTGGCGGTGTCAAGCAGCCACCCCATTGGGGCAAGGACGCATTTCATTCTATAGATTGCCGCTAAAACCCTTGTGATGATTAACACCTGCGGTTGTGCGCATTTGCCTTGGGTGGCGTCACTCTCTCATTGGCACTGGTTGTGCTGCCATGATGCTGACACTGAAGGCTTGAAGCCTGGCAGTCGCCCATGCACTCCCTTGGTTGCGCTGACCGGCGTTTGATATCGAGACAGCGCGCAGGTTGATTCACGGGCAGACAGCAAAGGTGCCAATAGCTCAAGTAATCGGGCCGCTTGATGACTGACAGCATGGCGGCACGGGCGCTGTTGTGCAGCACACACAAGAGGCATAAAGTAGCTTTACAGCATGGACTGCACGGCTGAGTGCGTCCCGTCCACCAGTCGCATGAAGGGATGCGAAGCGCATCACCTCTTCCCCGCCACCTTCTGCCGCTTCGCCGCGGCCTGCCCCTCCCCAGGCCCCTTGCGCTTCGCGTCGTTGCCCCGCTGCGCCGCCTGGCGCGCCGCCTGCAGCCGCCGCAGCTCCACCAGGTGCAGCACCTCCCCGCGCAGCGCCAAGTAAGCGCCGCAGACGCTGCGGCTGCTGTACCGCGGCTGCAGCGGGATGGACAGTTCCGCAAACGCCGCCTCCACCGCCTTGGCCAGCCGCCTGGGGCGCGAATTTGGGGTGCATGTGCGACAGTGTGGGTTGCATCTTGAAAAAGTGGCTCATGAGTGACATTTGAGGCCTTGATGAGGGTACGCAATTGTGTGCAGTGCAGACACAGAGCAAAGGCACTGCGCCGAACGTCACCGCTGCTGCGCAGCTTGGCTCCCAGGGCATAGGATGCCCGGCCCGCCGCTCACGGTGCTTGCGGCCCCAGGATCGCCACTGGCTGCTGCTCCACCGTGGCGCGCGTGTGCAGGCCGCGCGCGTACACGGCCGGGCGCTCCGGCCGCAGCGGCTCCAGCGTCGGCGAGAGTAGCGACGGCATGCCGGGCTGGGTGTGGTTGTCGAACGAGGCCGGGTAAGTGAGGTACGAGGCGTCAAAGACCGAGGGATTGCTGACGCCCGCAGCAGGGCCCGCGCTGCCGCCGCGCGCCGCGTTGGCCACGCCGGGCGTCGCGGCCGCGCGGCGCGCCTGGGCCGCGGCTGCGGCGGCAGCCTGCGCGGCTGCCTGCTCGGCGCGCCGCCGCTCCTCGATCTGTCGCGCCTGCTCCAGCACCTGTGACAAGGCCGTGGTGAAATGGCCGCAGCACAGGTCGGGGCGCTTTGAAGCTGCTATAGCAGGCCTCCGGCACGCATCAGACAGCAGCCATCCTTTTGAAGGGCCTTGACGCCCGCTCGGCTCCCGGTGCATCAAGCCTCAAACGGTTTCCACCGCCCTTAAAGCTGCTCCGGCCGCCCTCCCGTGTCCGCCCACCCACCGCATTGTCCTTCTCCTCCTGGCTGGTGTCGCGGTCCAGCAGTGACATCAGCGCGGCCTTGCGCTGCCTGTCCTGCCCCGCGTTGTAGGGGTGCTTGACCAGCGGGTGGTTGGCCAGCAGCGCGTCCGTGCCCTCGCGCGCCACCTTCACGGGTTGTGGAGGGGGGGGGCCGAGGGGTGGGCAGGGGGGTGGGGATGCGATGGGATGGCATACATGCTCGACTGGGGGTCAGGTAGCACACGCCACCACTGCTCGTAATGCTGGAGCCATCCTGCAATTCAGCGCTAGTGCAGACGTTGGGGGCAAAACACCGCACAATGCCAGTATGCTTCGCCGCCGGCCCCAAGCCACACTGTCCCCTTGCACCAGCAGCTTCCTGGCTATTGAGTAGTAGCGCTCCTTGAGGTCCTCAAGGCTGCGCGGCTGGCCCCCGGGAAACTGAGGGGGGGAAGGTCAAGGGAGATGGCAACCGGCGGTTGGAGTGTATGTGGTGAGTGATGCTGCACCATGGCAAAGCATCTAAAAAGCTCGGTCCTGCAACGAGGGAGCAGCCAATTGCGTGGCAGCGTGATAGGAGCAGCCGTGTGCGCCCCGGCGCCTGCTTCAAGCGCCTGCCAGGAAAAAATGTGTCACTCACGTCCCATCTGTCGGCAATGACAATGAACCGCTGGTCAAACTGCTCCACCATGGCCAGGAGGTAATCGGTCTCGGCCCGGCTCCAACTGCTGGCCGCGTCTGCTATGAGTGAGCTCCACTCCTCCTCGTCATACCGGAACACGGGGCACTGCGGTTGGTGTTTGTTGGATGTTTAGCAGTTTGGGTTGACGGACGGCCACATGATTGTTCGGACAGCTGTGCAGGTGAGTATATTGTGGTGTTGTTCACGTGTCAGAGACAGGGTTGATGAGCTCGTGAGAGGGCAGGCAAGGATGCCAGGGCAACATAGGCACACAAGTGGGGCCGCCAGCCATGCACAGGCCGTGCACAACTTGTTGTGTCTGGCAGTGATAGTCCTATTGAAGACTTCCTTGTTTTCAGCTGCTTCCTGTTATTCACGCATGCTCCCTGTCTGGCAGGCGTGACATCGGTCGCACATCCCTGCCAACCTTCGGACCGCCCCTCCAATCGCCATCCACCTTTTTGTTGTACTTGGCAAAGGGATAGTCCCCCTCGTGCGCGTCGCGAACGCGACCGCTGGCGTCCTTGAAGCCTTTGGCCCAGTGCACGAGCTGCAGGCCGTCTGAGCGTGCCTGGTTGGTGAAGGGCTGCGCTCGCCAGACGACTGTGCCCTTGCCGGTCGGCCGGTTGGGCTTGTCCTTCTTGCTTTTCTTCAGGCCCTCCATCAGCTGCGTCGTAATCAAGGGGTTGGAGCCGCTGAGGAGCGCAAACGCCTCACGGCTCATGCCCTCGGGCCGCTTCATCCGTTCTTTCTTCTCCGGCTTGCGCTCTGCGGGCGTGGCGCCGCCGCGCTCCACCCCAAGGATGTCGCGGGCGTCCGCCATGGCTGCTGATGCCCTGGTTTGCTAAAGCTGTTTCTGGATAGGTCTACAGCTAGTGTTCAAATCTATTATCCAAGTGATATGCTCCGCGGGCCACTGGCTGGCCGCGGAAAACACTGCCAGATCGACCAGAGCTGCCTGCGAGACGGATCAGGCGCCCATCGTATTCAAACTCAAATCGGTTTTGCTATGTGGAAACCAGAATCACCAGAGAACAGATCAACTTGATGCGCAAGCTATCAGAGCGTTTGCTGTACACAAAGCAGCGATGTTTTGGATGTTGTGTGGTAATGCACGCACTGCGCATGTGACGCAAGGCAGCGCTTCGGGTATGGCTGCATGCGTGCCCGGCAGCACCTGGCAGCATGGCCGGCCTGGGCTTGCTGTGCGGGCGACAAAAGAGAAGGCAGCGCAACAAACACCTAGAAGACACGAAAGTACGTAGGCAGAATAGGTAGTAGGCCCCTGGCAGGAAAGCATTGGCATGTGAAAATTGTTTGACCATGACATGTGACCTGGCCCCTGGGCATGTTTGTCAAGTCAGATACTACCGTTCGTGTTAAGTCCATCTGACTCGTAGCAGCTATGCATTGAGTACCTCAGCCAGGGGGCCGGCAGCTTGACGATATCAATGCTTGCAACGGACAGGTTGGGTTTATGGGCCGCTCACTGCACCACACCCACTGCCCGGCCAGCACCCTTGAGCAACACGGCAGCTTTGGGACCACAAAACTATTGACTCGAAGAGATAGGAAGTTTTTAAGTGACTTGCCCTTTATCTGCATGCCGCGCGACGGCGCAAGAGCTTCATTGTTCCGGGCCTGGCCCAGATGCACCGGTCAGCCACGCCGCCAGCTGCACACCCTGGGTTGCCATGCTACCCTATCCGATCAGAGCTAGGTTGAAATTCCGTTCTTTCGGCTTCAAATGTGGTTCATTTCACACACTTCATGCAACCCTCAAGTGCCCCGCTGAGCTCCAAGGTCGGCTGCAGCAGCGGTTTTACCAGGGCCAACGGAGGCGAAGAACAAACATAAGGCGAGTTGAATAATCATAAACTCAATGTTTTCAGCCATAAAAGGCCCAGTTGGCAGCTGTACGCAAGAGCTGGTGGGTCTGCGAGCCTTGACCAGAGCAACGCGTGTCACAGGCCGTGCGCATGCATATATTTGTTTGTAGAGACTGGAGTGTTACTTTGTGTCAGCAGCCTGCTCGAGAGGGGCCAGATTCCGAGCAATATGTTGCTGATCAGCAGAGGACGTCCACGATCGACCAGGCACGGTCTCGTTGAGGCTGCTGGATATCATAGGGACACACCCTCAATCGCGCCTGGTTCTTCAGGGTCTTGGCAGCACAAGCAAGGCCACTCTTGGAGCCCTGTGCACACTGCTGCCGAGGACACGCATGTGCTGCACTACCCCTCGGGCCCCCTCGTCACACTGCCACGATCGCTGCCATTCAATTGCTTGCCATGCATGTTGCTGACAGATGACATGACACGGCTGACGTGAAGCGCTTCAAAACCGCACGGGGACGCGCAATGGACCCGCGGCGTGGCTTTGGGGGCCATGCGATGACGGCGCGGGCGCCGACAGCGGCGCCGCAACGTGCAATTTCCCTGCGTAGGCGGGGGGCGTGCAGGGTGCATGCCAGCATTCTGGGAAGAAGGGTGCTCAAGATCAAGGTGCGCATGGCGCTGAGCGCTTGCCAGGGGCGGCGCGCTCGACCAGTGCCTGTGCTCAGCAGCTGCGTTGACCACGACGAAAACACACGGTTGAAGTTGACCTCTGTTTCTGCTATGAGCTGTGGTGCGACTGTCATGCCTTGGTGATTGCCTATTTGTAAATCAGAGCCTCTCTCCCGTACAGGGCCTGAGCTACTGGCACGAAGGCGCTCCACGGCTTGCATGGCAGCGTGCCCAGCGCATGCGGCGCCAGCTCGGCAGCTGCATGCCGGCGTCGGGCGGCCGCCTGCCGCGCTTGTCGGTGGCAGTGCGAGCACAGGCAGGGACTGCAGCAGATGGCGATGATTCTGACAACGACATGGGGGCGTGGGCCAGGTGTGCGAAGACTGCCTCATGCTTGGTGCCGCGCCGTTGCTGCTGCCGCTGCTGCTGCCGCTGCTGCTGCCGCTGCTGCTGCTGCTGCCGCTGCCGCTGCCGCTGCCGCTGCCGCTGCCGCTGCC